ATGTACTTTTTCACGCACTTTTCGCTCAGTTATTCTATTCCATCACAAGCTAATCATTGAAGCTTCGATACTCGTGACTGCATATAGCTCTGTTGAGGAGCAACGAGGGACGATGATGATTACCATCACAAGCTGACCGTTGAAGCTTCGTTACTTGCGATTGCATATAGCTCTACTGAGCTGCAACGAGGACGGATGTTAATCTTGTTTTTTTCATGATGATGACGTTTTCACGTATAAAGTGGAAGAAATTATTGGGGAGCGATATCTTAAAACCGTATTACAAACCGAAAATTTTAACAGAGATGATAGTAAAACAGTATTTAATCATTGGTTATTACATGTAATAAGTTTGAGAGGACTGGGTGTAAAAACGAATGCAAAAACAGCATTCAAAACATAACACCTGCGCGCGCAACGCCATAAATGATTACCCTATGGAGCCACCTTAACTTAGCGCTAATTCCGACGTGCAATGCCTCAAGCCTGGTTTTCACTAGCGACGCAAGAACAAGCGCAAGCAAAAGCACAAACAATAATTCTTCTTTCACCGCGAAGACGGCCTTGACGCAGGCATAAGGACAAGCGCAAGCACAAGGATCAAAATTGTTCCTTTTTCTTGTGATTGCGCTTTTGCTTGCGTTGCGCTGTAACAAGTGAAAACGAAATACCGCTCAGGCAGGCAGACCTTATTACCCGAAAGAATTTACACAATGCCCGAAAGCGTGAGTGTTGTTCAAACGCACTCAAATCGGATTGAAAACAACGACGTTCACAATTCTCACGTAATCTCTGTAATCATTCCAAAAATAGTTATTTTGAAACCTCACATACTCTATGACCTCGATCGACAGCCTAGTGAAAATCAAAAACTTAGAAAAGAAACGTTAATTCTTCCTCGTACGAAAAGTTCAAGAAAACTTTACAACGGCTTTTTGTGGAGCCATTCAAAACGGCTTTTTTCAGAGCAACAACAAAGACAAAAGTCTTGGCCTTCGTTTGCTTTGATTCTTTTGCCATTGTTTTGTTGATGGAAAGAATATCCATCCATCATCATTCGACCTTAACTCCGTTTTGACAATTAAGAAAGTAGCCTACAAACCTGATCTTGACAACGTTTTGAAATGTTTTTTCCTGAGTATTTTTGCCCGAATCATCAGCGTTTTGCTCAAAAAATTACAAAAAAATCTGGAACTGGGAGGGGGTAGGGGGGGGGGGGGGTATAACCAGAATAAACAATCCGTTTTGAAATGAGCTACAGCAGTGTTGATCGAAATACGTTTTTCATATAGTGCTTTATAATTAAGCTTTACAACGTAATAAATTGAACTCAGTCCATTTTTTTACCCGAGAGAGGCTTATATCAGGGGGGGGGG